CGCGGGGGAATGCGTTCTGTTATTCCCCGTGGAGCCGTCGGCCAGCGCCCAGAGAACGAATCGGCCGCCGCGAGGGGAGGTGCTGCTGAGGAGAGCCGCCGCCTGGGCCGTGGGATGGCTGCAGCCCGCCGCGGGCGGGCGCAGGCGCGGGCAGCGCGAGGTGGCCGCTCTTCTTCCCTGCACGGAGATTAATCAGCTTCGCAATCGTCACCATCTCGACGGGATTTATCTGCGGCGCCGTCGCTCCAACACCTGGCGGGAAGGCGTCGACGTACGTGATGGGGTACTGAGACTGGAGCCTCCCAGGCGTGATGGGGAGAGCCTGGATGCCATCCCTGGGCGGCGGCATCGTCGCCACGAGATTCTTGAACGAGGATTTCACTGTGGCCAGATATGACTGCAACAGCTCCCTCGTGATCTCGCCCGTCTCCACGCCTGTCTGCTTGCACACCAGCAACAAGAATGCTGCCATATTGGCGGGCGTCGGGCAGCTCGGATGCCTCAGGCCAAGCGCCCCGAGGTGCTCTGAGAACGCCGCCATCTTGGCAGTGAAGCCCGAATGCGGCGAGAGCACGAACTCCCACAACTGAGGCGTCAGAAATTCAATGAACCCCTCGTAGTTCTGGAGCTTCCTCCCCTGCAGGCTGCCCGACGACAGAGCCTGCAAGAAGTCTCCCAGCTCGGACTGCGCCCACCCCACGCCGCCGCCCAAAGCAGCAAACTGCGCACTCTGGAGCTGCGACCAGCGCTGGGACGTCGCCGCCTGGATGCAGGCAGGAAGGTGCTCCGTCGCACTGCCGCGCGCTACGAACGCCGCCCGCGCCTCCTCCAGGCGGCCTCGAAGGATGCCCTCCATGGCAGCGATGCGGCGCGACCGCGCGCCGAGCGGAGTGCGCGACTCCCCGCGCGCGCACGCCGCCCGAAGCCCTCGGAGGAGGGCTCGCCAAAAAACGGATCGAGCCAACGCGCGTGCGACGGACATATCCTACTCCTGCTCTTCCTGCTCCTCCTCCTCCTCCCCCTCCTCCTCCTCCTCCTCCTCCTCCCCCTCCTCCCCCTCCTCCCCCTCCTCCTCCTCCTCCTTCTCCTCTTCCTCCTCTCCCTCCTCCTCCTCCTCCTCCTGGGTGAGGGGGGGCGCAGGGGGGAGAGGGTGTCGAAGGGGGGGCGGGGGAGGGGGTGCCGAAGGGTGCGCGGGGGGGAAGAAGAGAGCTATGGGGGAGGGTGGGTCAAGGAGAGGCCAGGGAGGGGAGGGGGGAAAGGGGTGGGCGGCTTGCCGCCGAGGGGGTGGAAGGAGGCGGCAAAGCAAGCCGCCGATAGGGCGGTTGGGAAGAAGCGGTTTCCCGCCACGAGGAGGAGAAGGCGGTTTGCCGCCAGAGGAGGAGTAGGCGGTTTGCCCCCAGAAGGGGTAGGCGGTTTGCCGCCAGAGGAGGAGAAGGCGGTTTGCCGCCAGAAGGGGTAGGCGGTTTGCCGCCAAAGGAGGAGAAAGCGGTTTGCCGCCAGAAGGGCGGTTTGCCGCCACGGAGGGGGAGAAGGCGGATTGCCGCCATGGGGGGGGGAGAAGGCGGATTACCGCCGACGGAGGACGAGGCGACGGAGGAGAAGGCGGTGCGCCGCCTAAGGAAAGGGGGGATAAGGGAGGGCCGAAGACACATGGATAAACATTTTCCTCCTTCCCTCCCCCCTCCCCGCGGGCATGCGCGCAGCCCGCAGCGCCGCGGCCGCGAGGTGCAGCAAGTACCTGCGGCGCCTCGGTCCTGAACAACTGAACAACAACAACAACGGAAATTCAATGGATTTCAAAAAAGTTAAGAATAAAAAATACGCAAATGATTAGCAAAAACACGAATATGTTCAGCCCCATCGACTTAGCAGAGATATCTAACTTAGTATATTACTTACATCTACACTTACAAACACCATAAGTATTGCATATGCACACATGAGATGCGCGATCAACAAGTGTACGTTCTATGGCTTAACTAAGATTATGTAAGATGAACGCTCTTACCGCACTTACAGCCACCCGACGATCAAAGCAAGTCGACGCGGAACCGGTACCTCGCGCTGGGTAGGGCGACCGGCGCCAAGACGGACAAGTGTGGGTGGACAACGCTGAGACACTACTTCGGGTCGTACGCGAAGACGGACTCCAGACGCCAGGTGGTCGCCGCCGTCCTCGTGGCCCTCGTGGTAGCCGTGGAGGCGCGGCGGCTGCTCGCAGGTCAGCCCCCGAAGGGGGGCTTCAGGGCCAGCTTGCTGGGCACGGGCGCTGGGATTGTATCCCAGGTGCTCAAGGCGCGCGCCCAGGGGGGGCTCGCGCTGACGGCCGTGATCGACGACATGCACTGCCACAACGTGGAGATCACGCACGACAGACCCTACCCAGTCTTGCGGCGCCTCACGGCGACCGTGGGGCCGGAGGTGGACCGGCTCCGGTTGGTGGTCTTCGTGGCGGCCTTCAACAGCTACGATTTCCTGCTGTTCCTGGAGAGCACCGGGGGCCGGGCCCCCCGCTCGGCCGAGGAGGCCGCGCTGCTCTTCCGGCAGGCTTACGCCCGACGGGTGCAGCCTTTTAGCGTGAGGCACCTCCCGCAAAGGGTTCTCCGGGACGCCGTCCTGGGTGTCCTCGCGCAGCCGTGCTCGGCGTCTGGCGAGCGGGAGTACGTACGCCTCTGCACGCGAGGTCAGAAAGCCTGGATGCCGACGGGGTTCCTCCAGGTGTCCTCAGCCCTTTGGCGGGACCTCAGGGAGGAGGCGTCGCACGGAGGCCGGCGCGCGCTCCTCCAGCGGGCCCTGCCCTGGTACGGGCCCCTCCTGGCCAAGAACGCGGTCAACTGGATGCACGTGCTGGGCCTCCTGCCCACGCTGCCCGGGGAGGCCTTCCTGGCTGGCCACCCGGACGGGCCGGGCAGCGAGGCCTTCCCGGCGATTTACGGCGGGGCCAGGGAGGAGCTCAGGCAGGAGGCGACCGCGATCCTGGAGCGCACCGGGGGCATCACCTACGGCGAGCAGCCCGCCCCCGGGTGGCAGGCGCCGCGGTTGACCAGCGAAACGGCCCAGTTCATGGGCTGCGCTGGCGCCCGGCTCCTGGAGGCGTTCGTCTCCGGCCGCGTCCCGGCCCACCTCCGGCGGAACAGCGTCATCGCGGCCGAGGAGGTGGCGCTCCTGGCGCAGCGCGAGTGGGACGACGATGACGCGGGCCCGGCCGCGGCCCGGGGCGGGGCCTAGCCCCCCTACTCCACTCCCCCCTCTTCCCGCCTCTCCTCTTTGCACCGGGGCCAGCAGCGCAGGGGCGACGCGGGGGCGCGCGCCGAGCTGGAAAGTCCCCGTGCCCCCCCTCCTCTTCTCCCCTTCCCCTGGCCGGGCGCCTGGGCAGTATGGTTCTGGTGGTGGTTTTGGTTTTGGTTTTGGTTCCGGTTCTGGTTCCGGCCCGGTTTCCTCCTTCTTTCCCCTCCCGAAGAAGGGCGCCGAAACCACCACCAAAACCACGCTCCGCCTGGGCGCCGGAGGCCGAGGGCTGCGTCGGCGCGGCGGTGTCCGGCCCGCCCGCCGTCGCTGTGGCCGTCGCCGCCGTCGTCGCCCGTGGCGCTTGGGCCCGCGGGCGCTGGTTCTGGGCCGGCGGCGCCGCGACCCAGAATTTGCCCCAGGGGGCCGGGGGCCTGCGCGCGGGGGGGGGCAGTTCTGGGTCGACGGCGCGGCGGCCCAGAATCAGCCTCAGGGCGCCTGGGCGCCGGAGGCCGAGGGCCGGGTCGGGGGCGGCGACCAGCCCCGCCCGCCGTCGCTGCTGCCGTCGCCGCCGTCGTCGCCCGCGGCGCTTGGGCCCGCGGGCGTTGGTTTCTGGGCCGGCGGCGCCGCGACCCAGAATCGGCCCCGGGGGCCCTGGGGCCCGCGCGCGCGAGGGCGATTCTGGGTCGACGGCGCGGCGGCCCAGAATCAGCCCCAGGGCGCCTGGGCGCCGGGGGCCATGGGCCGGGTCGGCGGGGCGGCGTCCGGCCCGCTCGCCGTCGCTGCTGTCGTCGCCGCCGTCGTCGTCGGGCGGTGCCCCCCCTCGCCCTCCTCCCCCCTCCTCCCGTCGCCGCGGGGAGTCCCGCTGGCCGAGGCCCCGGACAGGCAGGCGGCGCGCTCAGCCGAGGAGCGCGCCTGGCGGCCCGGGAGCAATGGGAGGGCCGTTGCCCCGCCTCCTCCCTCCTCCCCTCCCTCGCCTCCCTCCCCCTCCCTTCTCCTCCTCCTCCTCCTCCTCCTCCTCTCCCTCCCTCCTCCCTCCTCCTTTTCCCCCTTCTGAGCGAGGCGTGGCGTGGCGTGGCGAGGTGAGGCCTGGGCCTCCCTCCCACCCTCCCACCCTCCTCCCTTCCTCCTCCCTTCCTGCCTCCCTCCCGTCGCTTCTTCGGCCCCGCCCGCCGCCGCGGCTGCCGTCGCCGCCGTCGTCGCCCGCGGCGCGTGGGCCCGCGGGTGTCGGTTTCTGGGCCGGCGGCGCCGCGACCCAGAATCGGCCCCGGGGGGCCTGGGGCCCGCGCGCGCGGGAGCGACTCTGCCTGGGCGCCGGGGGCCGTGGTCCGGCCCGCTCGCCGTCGCTGCTGCCGTCGCCGCCGCCGTCGGGCGGTGCCCCCCCTCGCCCTCCTCCCCCCTCCTCCTGGCTACCAGCCGACGCCACCGCGAGCTCGAGTTCAAGGCCGCCTCGGCGCCTGCCGCTCCCCCCCCGCGCCGCTCCCCAGCCGCGATGGGTCGCGACGCCAGCCCGACGCCGCGCGCAAGCTCGTCGGAGCGGAGGGCCTCTCGCAGCCGCGAGCGCCGCCGGGTCAGGAGTCGCCGGCAGGACTCGCGCGACCGCTCCCGCGACCGGGGCCGCCGCTGTCGCCGCGGTTCCCGCGGCAGCCAGCGGGGCCGCGAGGCGCCGTCGTCGCAGGTGGCCGCCCGGTTTGCAAGCCCCGCGGCCCGCGCGGCCCCCCCGCCCGTCGCGGACGGCGGCCCGCCCTTTTGGGGCCCCTGGGCCGCCGCGGGAGCGACCCTGGCCACCGCGGGCGGGGCCCTCGCACCGTCGCAGCCCGGCGCGGACTCTAAGCCCCGCCCCCGCCTGCCAGCGCCGCTCGGTCGGGCAGCCGCAGTGCCTGGGGCGCAGCGCGCGCCGGCCTTCCTGCCGGCGCCGCCGCGTGAGCAGGCGGCCGATTTCGCCCGCCCAGCGACGCCCGCGGCTTACGAAGGGGCCACCCCCAAATCGCCGCACGGGCACGCGCGCGCGTGGGGTGCAGGCGTGCCCGACGGAGGCTTGGCGGCCTCGGTGTTCGGCGGCGAGGCCGCGGGCTGGCCGCGCGGGCCGCCGCCGCCCGCTTCCGCAGGCCCGCTGGGCAGCCCTGGCCAGCCGCAGGGGGCTCCGCCGCCCAGCCCCAAGCCGGACGGCGCTCCGCCGACGCCGTTCCCGGGGCATGCCGGGCCCCGGGCGCCGGGTGTCCCTGGGCCGCGCTTAGGGCCGCCGCCCGCTGGCGGTCCCGCGACCGCCCCGCCCCACTGGCCGATGGGTATAGTCGGCGGGGAGGGAGGCGTCCTCCCTACGGTGCCGCGGGCCGAGGCCGTCCCGGGGCCGGTGGGGCTGCTGCCTGATGCCGGGTTGGTGGGCCCCCCGCCGCCGGCGCCCCTGGGGCAGGCGGCCGCCCCCGCTGACCCAGGCACCCGCGGGCCGCCACCTGGGCAGCAGCCGACTGTGACGCGGGCGCCGTTCCCGCTCGCCGGGCTGCTGAGCGCGCCCGGCTTGCAGTGCGCCGACGCCGCGCGCGCGGCGGGACAAGCCCGCGGCGCGGCGGCGGGCCGCGGCCGGTCGGCGCCGGCCCGCGCGGCGACGAGGGGCACCGCTGCGCCGCGGGCGCCGTCGGGTCATCCGCTCTGCGCCTGTGGCTTGGATCTGGCAGCCTGCGGAGCCTGCGGCCGCGGCTGGGCGCAGGTCGCGCCCGGCGCGCCGCCGGCGCCCGCGGGCGGCCCCGGGCAAGTCGAGGAAGGGCCGCGCGCGACGGAGGTCGCGACGAGCGAGAGCGGGGCGGCAGCGGACACGGCGGCCTGGGAGCGCGATACCCTCCAGTGGCTGACGGGAGGGTTGAGAGAAGCGGCGGACCTGATCGAGGAGACGGGCCTCCCCCTGCCGCAGGCGGTGCAGTACGTGCAGCAATTCGCGGCGGACGCCGCGGCGGCGGCCGCCCAGGCGCGGGGGCCGGAGGGGGCAGGCAAGGCGCCCCCCGCCCTTGGCCCCCCGGCCGAGGCCCCGCGCGGCGGCCCCGTGGAGTGCGCCCGCGGAGGCCATCCGCGACCTCCACGGGCCAGGTGGCCCGCAGGTGCCCGTGCAGACGCTCGTGGAGGCGGACGGCACGCGCTGGGTGCGGCCGGTGGGGTGGGCGGCGGAGAAAGGCGGGGACGCTCACGTCCTGGTTCTCCGCCTGTTCGCCCCCCCCCGGGCGGGCCTGAACAAGACCACCACGGTCTCCGTGCGCTGGGTCCACTCCTCGAAGATCGTGACCATTCAGGGCATCAAGAGTAACATCGTCGACTTCGCCCCGAAGTGGGTGGAGGCTTTCGGCCAGGTCAAGGGCGCGAAGGTGGTAGGGCCCAACACGGGGGCGCCGACGCTGCTGCGCTACGCCCGGGCTGCGCCCTCAGGGAGGGGATGACCGCCGCGCGGTAGCGCTAGTCGCCGGCCACGCCCGCCCCCCCCCGCGCCCAGTCCTCCCCCTCCCCACCGCCTTGGATGTCCTTCCCCCTGCCCCAGCTTGCCCCCCGCCCCCTCCGCGCCGAGGGCCGGCGCATTTTTGTTTTTCTTCTCTCGTTCGTTCCCCAGCAGTTCTACCGGTCGCGGCAGGGGCGCGCTCCACAGGGAAGCCTCGGCTTGGGCCGGGCTGAGCGAGGAGGGCGCGCGGCGCGCCCGACGGCCGAGCCAGCGCAGGGAGAAACCTGGCATGGGCCGGGTTCGGCGCGCTGGCACGGTGAGGTCGGGGCATCGACCCGGCCGCGCGATCGGCAAAAGCACCGCCTCCCGGCTCCCCCCCCCCCCCCTCCGTCGCAGCGGCGCGCCGAGTCGCAGTCGCCGCCGTCGTTGCCCGCGGCGCGTGGGCCCGCGGGCGCTGGATTCTGGGCCGGCGGCGCCGCGGCCCAGAATCGGGCCCCGGGCGGCTGGGCGCACGGGGGCGGATCCTGGGTCGACGGCGCGGGGGCCCAGAATCAGCCTCAGGGCGCTTGGATGCGGGGGGGGCCGCGCGTTGGGTCGGCGGGGCGGCGCCCGGCCCGGCCGGCTGGCCCCGCCCGCCGCCGCCCCCCGCGTCGCCGTATGTCCAGTCGCCGTCGCCGCCGTCGTCACCCGCGGCGCGTGGTCCCGTGGGCGCTGGATTCTGGGCCGGCGGCGCCGCGACCCAGAATCGGGCCCCGGGCGGCCGGGCGCGCGGGGGCGTTTCTGGGTCGACGGCGCGGGGGCCCAGAATCAGCCCCAGGGAGCGTGGAAGCGGTGGGGCCGCGCGTTGGGTCGGCGGGGCGGCGCCTGGCCGGGCCGGCCGGCCCCGCCCGCCGCCGCCGCCCCCCCCTTGTCGCCGCCAGCCCAGTCGCAGTCGCCGCCGTCGTCGCCCGCGGCGCGTGGGCCCGCGGGCGCTGGATACTGGGCCGGCGGCGCCGCGACCCAGAATCGGGCCCCGGGCGGCTGGGCGCACGGGAGCGGATTCTGGGTCGACGGCGCGGGGGCCCAGAATCAGCCCCAGGGCGCCCGGATGCCGGGGGGCCGCGCGGTGGGTCGGCGGGGCAGCGCCCGGCCCGGCCGGCCGGCCCCGCCCGCCGCCGCCCCCCCCCGCGTCGCCGCTCGTCCAGTCACTGTTGCGATCAGCCCCAGGGAGCCTGGAAGCTGTGGGGCCGCGCGTTGGGTCGGCGGGGCGGCGCCCGGCCCGGCCGGCCGGCCCGCCCGCCGCCGCCGCCCCCCCCTCTTGTCGCCGCCAGGACGAGGCCCGACCGCGGGCGGTGCGCCGCCCCGCCCTCCTTCCCTCCCCCCGCCGCCCCTGCCGTGGCAATTTTTGGCTCTCGTGCGCCGCGGCCGCGGCGGCTGGCCGGCCGCGACCGCCCGGCATGGCGCAGCCCGGCACCCCGGCGCTCGCGGCCTGGGCGACGGGCGAGGCGGCCGCGGCGGCGGCCGCTGAGGCGCGCGGCTGGGAGGCGGCCGACGTCCCCGGAGAGGGTGGGCGACGCCGCGAGGCAGCAGCGTCCTTCTTGCGGGACGTCCGGGCGCTCCAGGCGGCCCGGCCAATTTTCCCCACAGGCCCGCCAGGAGGCCCGGTTGCGCGCGCGTTGGTGCAGGGCGGCTTGGGGACGTGGCGAACGTTCGACACGGCGCTGGCGACGACCCTTCAGAACTGGCGCGCGCGGCTGGAGCTGGGCGGGCATGGGGCACTCTCGGGGCGCGTTCATGGAGCTTGGGAGGGCGCTCTACCGGTGCAGGAGTGCGTGGCCGCGCCCCGGGCGGCGCGCGCCGCGCCGAGAGTCCTGGCGGCGCTCAACGTGCAGGGGGGCTTTGGCGCGCGCGGGGGCGTGGGCACCCAGGAGGCCCGGATCGTTTCGGTGCTCGAGCGGCTTCGAGCAGCGCAGGTAGCGGCGGCGGCCATCGCGGAGCCCCGACTCGGGCCTGGCGCGCGTTGGCCAGACGCGGGTTACGCCTTCTATGGCGAGCGGTCCTCGTCCCCGGGCACAGTTGCCGTGCTGGTCCACGAGTCGCTCGGCGAAACGACCGCCCCCGTGGCCGATGTGGGCGACGAACGGGCGATCTGGCTGCCGCTCCCGGGGGCTAAGGGCGGCGGCGTCCTCGTCCTCGCGGCCTATGGGCCGCCGCCTGCGCACGGAGCCCTGGCCCGACGACAATTCTGGGACGCGCGGTTGATGGAGTGGCGGAGGCTGGCCCTCCAGCCCCAATTCCGAGGGTGGTCCCTGGCGATCCTGGGTGACGCCAACCTGCACTTCGCAGACTTGGCCCCAGCGAACGAGCGCTACGAGGGGCCCTTGGAGCGTCACGTCCGGGAGCTCTTGCGGGCCACGGAAGGGTTCGACCCACAGGGTCTCCGGCACGTAAAATAGCAACCTCTGGATCAAGGTGCTTATAAGACAGGCCGGCACTTAAAACAAGCCGGCACTTAAAAGCAGAAGGCCGGCACTTAAAACCAAACCACAAGCCAAAAAGGCACATAAAATGCGGGTCGTAGCCTCGCATGAGCCAAGAAGGCTACGGGAACGGAGGAGGAAGGACGGATAAAAAATATAAAGAGAGGGAATAGGAGGACGAGGAGGAGGAGGAGGAGGCGGAGGAGAGGAGGAAGAGGAGAAGGAAAAGGAGGAGGGAACGCGAGGGAGGAGGAGGAAGGAGGAGGGAGGAGGAGGGAGGAGGGCTGCTGTGTTCGAATGTGTCTTGTCTCCCGCTCGCCCGCTCGCAGCCGTTTCGGCCCCGATCGATTCAATGATTTCCTTTTGGTGCATTCCGCTTCTTGCAAGCTCTTTCATATTCTGCATGACTCCTTCCGCTAAAAGGCCCCGTTTGTCGAATTCAGAATTGCTGAAAGATGCGCTTCTTCCTGTGGCAGAGGATGTGCTGAACATGAACTATGGCACGAGAGGCGAGGACGAACCCATGAAGAAAGAGATGGTGCTAGACTGCAAGGCGATTCTTCTCGCAGTATACCCAGTGGCCCCGAACTTTTCGATTACAGAGAGTAGCGCACTCGAGGCATTGAAACACATTGCGGCTGACATGTGCAACGAGGGCAAATGGAATATGTCCGAATCGAGACAGCAATCGTTCGCCGAGAGGACCGTGAAAAAGCTGCGCACGCTGTGCGCGCACGGGAGGGCCATGATCCAGCACAAGCCCAGGCTCGGTCATCCTCAAAAAACTGCATCCCCCCCAACCCCAGGAAAAACAGGCGTTGGGCCACGGAAGCAAGGCAGGGGAAGCAGGGCGAGGGGAGTGAGAGGGAGAGGAGGGAGAGGGAGAGGGAAGGAGAGGGAGGGAGAGGGAGGGAGAGGGAGAGGGGCAAGGAGGGGGAGTGAGGGCGGGGAGGAGGAGGAAGGAGGAGGGGAGGGACGGAGGGAAAACGAGGAGGATGTTTTTTGGTATGGTTGCCGAAGGCCGACGCAGTGGTTCGCGGAGATGCTGGGCCTTGGACCTCTGGGATTCTCAACTAATCCTACTGCTCCTCATCCTCCTCCCCATCCGCCCTCAGCAGTCCTTGTCCTCCACCTTCTCCTTCTCCTCATCCTCATCTTCCTCCTCCACCTCGATAACGCCCACTTGAGGGGAGCCACGGCCGCGGAGAAAATGAGTGCTAAGTGTCTGGTTCGGCTCTTGCTAATGGTTTTCGTTCCCCCGTAAGTCCTCCTCCCCACAACCTTGGTTTGTCCCCTCCTCCGTCTCAGATCGAGGGAGTGGCGCGAGTTGATGGCGTGACCGTGGCAACCCTGCCCCCTCCTCTTCGTCGTTCGAGCCCCCCGAGATACTCCTGTTGGTGGTGGGCCAGCGAGTTCGGGGACGAGATCCCCATCGGCGGGCACGTGGACCTATGGTTACGATGAGGCCCAGAACACGAGTTTCGCTCTTTCTCCCTCTCCTGCCTCCTCCTCCTCCTCCTCCTCCTCCTCCTCCTCCTCCTCCTCCTCCTTCCCCAACTCCTCCTCCCCCTCCTCCTCATTCCCCTCGCCCTCGCCCTGGCCCTCCTCCTCCTCCTCCTTCTCCTCCTCCTCCTCCTCCTCCTCCTCCTCCTGATCCTTCTCCTGCCTCCCTGCGGCCCTCGAGGGCGAAGGGCGAGGCAGGGGTGCAGGGGGAAGCCCAGGTCTCGAACAGAGCAACGCGGAGAAAGCCTGGCAGTACCGAGCCCGAGATGTCCGCCCCCCTCTACGCACCCGAGGGCGCCAAACCAGAAGACCCCGCCCGCGCTGATTTCGATGACGGCACCTTTCGGGATGTACCAGAAATCCTGTGCTCCGACTTGGCGGACCGCGAGTCTCAGAGCAAGGACCTCTATTTCCACCCAACTCTGTTTTGTCTGGGAGGGAGGGCAGCGTGAGATTCGACTGAGAGGGGGAAGGACAAAGGATAGGGATTAGGGAGAGGAGAGTGACAGAGAAAGAGGGCGAGAGAGGAGAGTGAGGGAGACAAATAGTGAGAGGGAGAAAGAGCGAGAGAGAGAGAGAGAGAAATGCGTAGAGGAAACAGGTCGAGAGATACAGAGATGATGCAGACAAGACAGGAGCGGGAACTCGGAGGGGAGAGAGAGGAGAGCACGTAGACCCATATAATAGATCAAACATTAATAGGACTTCGTCCTCGGCATCCCGCTCGTTGAAAAGGGTGCGTTCGGCCACGTCCAGGAAGGGGTGGGGTCGGGCGCGGGAGGTGGGAAGAGAGAAGAGAGAGAGAGAGAGGGAGAGAGAGAGGGAGAGAGAGAGGGAGAGAGAAAAAAGATGGGAGAGAATGGCAGTGAGATGAGGCGGGTACCCGGAACCGACGACCGATCGCACAGGCACCGAGGAACTACTTCAAGTCGGGCGACGTTTCCGTGAAGTTCAAGAACAACAGCCGCAAGGGCCAGACCTCCCAGCACCTCATAGTCTTGAAGAAGGGCTCCAAACAGGTTCCCGAAACACCAAAACGCTC